GGCTAAGTAACAGTACGACTAGGCTCCGACGAACGCAGCATCACCGAAATGTTATTATTAAACGTTGAAAATATGTATTAATGGCTCCATATCAACTCATAAATAAGAGTGTGATGGTAGTAAAACGAATTCGTACCCTGTGAAGGCAAAAGAATAGGCAGTGAATAAATGTTGCCGACAGGTTTTTTTTAACGATCCGGATTTCACGTGTACTATATCGATTTCAGTACTTTTCACATTCGAATCGTTTCCTCGTACCCACCATGCACGACCGTTTTCCAACCTTTCACGTGTTAGTTCAGCTCCTCGTTGAGGATTTTTTCCTCCCATTGTGAATGTTATTGAATGGCGGTCGAGTCGATTCACCCTAGAGTCCTGAGATAGCCGGACTACAGCATTTCCACTTGGATTGCAGAAAGTGAATTTTTTCTGGAGAAGTCCAGTATCAATTTCTCGAGTCCGGGAAGATGAGGGACTTGGTCAGCCCTAAGCGGGATTGAGCCAACACATGTTCAACATCACTGCCACTGTGGTATCCGCCTCTTCATTAACTTGTTACTATGCTGTTATTTATACACTGCTATAAATCTTGTTATATTATTAACACGATTAATAAACCAGGGTTGTTTTTTTCAGACGCTGTTCACAGCCTTTCGCATTAGCATGTAAACTGCTTTATACATTTCTTTTGGCACTTCTTTTCACTTTTTCTGTCACTATGGCGAATATCGTTGCAGCGCACCAACTCTAGCTGACGCGTATATTCAGGTTCTTCTGGTGAATACTCTGATGCTCAAATGCGCTTCTCTATTTACGATTCTGTGCTAATTTGTATGCTGATTGGCTTGGTGGTCCTCTCCATCCACCTTAACAACAAGAACAATCTATCTGAAGATCAGGACACTTATGACGCAGCGCAGTCAGAAAGGCGTTCACCGACTGGAACCAATGTACAACCGCTCGTTTGGAAAACATCAAGAGCACTCCGGAGAAAGTAAGCATTTTTTCTCCTGAAGTGCTCTCTCAGTGTTTTTATATGCAGTTCCAAGAAATGCACATGCGTGAGCTTTCCTACAGTGATGTCATTGTGTTTTAAAGATTTTGGAAACCATAAACACAATGGGAAAAACGCGTAAATGGTGGTGTAATCGAGAACATCCACTGTTTAGGTCTGGTGGAATTTTCCTGCGATCACCAGAAATTGTACCTTGAAAACCGGTGTCTCCAAAATAAAACTCGCCCGCTTCCCAAACAAGGGCGAGATCAAGTATTGTATACTCAGCAATAATGTACGAGTTTCTTGCTGATTCTGTCTGTATTTTATAGGGCAATTATTTTCTATATTTCTTCTTAACAGGTTTCAAGAAACGGAGGTTATATACGACTCGTACGCATCAGAACGCACTGGTCGACATGAGTTGCTTATAACTCTTTTCATACGCTTAATTTAGCTTACAGATTTCACGCAGAATTTTTTGCTATCATTCGATAGGTTACCCAACACTAATCATGTAAAAAGCTTCAACCCAGGAAAGCCTTATTTTATTTGGATACTTAGACGGCCCGCCTTCACTGGATGTGCGGGCCTCAGCTTAATTTCCATTTTTCCGGCGTTTTGCTGGTTTAGCTATTGTGGCTCATTAGAGTCCCGAGGTCAGCCTAATCAAAGTCTGCCCCAGGTCATCACCACCACGGGCAGTCGCCGACCTTTGTGGATCAGAGGAAGATTTGCCACCATGCGACTTTGATGCCAGGACGGTGGTGGATCCTGATATTGGTTTACTCTTAGCTAGGCTTCCTGATGGAAACGCCGGGCTCGTTCTCAGTTTGGGATACGCTGCCGGGGGAACGAATCACCCCGCTGTACAACGCAGCCCGACACCCAGAAACACTTCCCAGCCACGAAGAGGCGGTAAACCGTTGAGAGGATATATATATGTATTTTTTTTTACCAACTACCCTTATTGATTTGTTGTTGACTTTCTTACACCAAACGCGAGGTTGTTATTTAGCGCACGTTTACTTTCTCACAAATATAACACGCATGACACAACGGTAACTCACGTTTCGGCAGAATCGTCTTCTTCAGAGCCCGGAAGGGTACACTACTACGAAATTTACTAGGTCAAACGCATCAATAGCACAAATAGAGAGATGAAAATCTGCATTATAATTACAAGATCTACGGGTTCTCGAAAAAAAACCCACCGCTTCTTTCACCTGCCTTCCACCGAGGAAGAACAGCCGCTCAGAGTCGCATATGGTTGACGACTGCACCACCCCAAATCAACGATCGATACGAAGGTAAGGGGCGAGATTACGCGTGACGTCGGGCATTCCTCCCTGCTATTCATTGTAGGATTTTTGGCATTTATCCAAAAAGCCTCGAGGAGTTTGCGAGTTGGTGTTTCAGGATCCCGTGCGAGGATAGCGACTTTTACGTCAAAATCGTCTCCGCTATGCTTTTGTATTCTTTGTGTCCCTAGTGGCGTGCCTTGTCCTGCCTTTCGTCTGCCATCTAGGTGTTCTTTCATGCGGATACATAAAGGTCTACCCGTTTCCCAAATATATTCGTCTTCGCAAGTACTACAAGAGATCAGGTATATCGTACCTGATCTCATGCTGTCACTGTCCTTGCCATAAAGGCAAATTACACAATTCTGTGTTTCACATAGACGGTCGTATAGACGGTAGCGAACTAGCTGGCGACGAAGAATATTCGGTTGTATTTCAGTTATCGCTACCGATTCCTCTGGATCTGCTCTTCTCAAACATCGCTTTGTCGCTGTACTTATTGCATCACTAATAAAAGGCAAAATAAACGGAATTTTGCTTCGGCTAAACCGTTCGTTTTGGAGCATCGCTCTCCTTCGAAAATTATCTCGTGGGGTTACGATTTCGTAGCCATTGGAGGTGGCTATTTGCCGAGCCAAGTCGCGCGATTCATCCTTTAGTTCCTTACTTATGCACACAGAGGTGGCTGTTCGAAACATGTTTCTCACAATCGCCCTCTTTGTGTGTGAAGGGTGGGAAGAAAGGAAATGGACAAGGATGTTCTTGTTGCTTGGCTTTCGATACCACTTTGTCAGGTAACCGCTACTTGATAGGTTTATTTGGACGTCCAAAAACGGAAGCCAGTTTTCTCTCGGTTTCTCCCGGATGAACTTGAGGTACTCAAGACTGCTTGTTCAATCATTCAAAACATTTGTCCATCTCCTCTTGCGCAGAGAAGATAACAAAACAATCATCTACGTACCCGTAGTAGAGTAGCGGCCGGAAACCATGAACGGGAGCTTCTACTTTAGACATAAACGCAATGGGAAGGCTTGGCGCCAAACGCTGTCCCATTGCCAAGCCCTCTATTTGCGCGAAATATTTCCCAGACCATCTGAAAATCGAGCAGTTTAGACACTCCTTTAAGAGAGCCATTAGCTGCTGAGTGGACAAGCCATGCATATTTATTCTTCCTTCATGTTCAACAAGAAATTCGAAGATGGCTTGCATTGTGGGATCATTCGATACGTCGGTGTACAGCGCGGTAACGTCGAAGGACTCCACCACACACGCTTTATTAGGAGAGCGTTACGTAGACGTTCTAGGAACATGTGGGTGTTCGTGAGACTTATAATCCAATGCCGAGGTTAATAGAAAGTCAATTTTGGAAACTATTAAAAGAAGTACCCTTATTGAGTTGATACGAGATTGGTGAAAGTTGTCGTTGTTGCTGTTGTTTGATGTTTCGGTGACTTCACTCACCCACACTCTCACTTGCAACAGCACGGTTCTGAAGATGGCGAAATCGCCGAAACGGCAGCCATCAAGCTACACCAACAACAGCAGCAGCAGCAACAGCAACAACAATAACAACAACAACAACAACAATAATAACAACAACGAAAACTTGTACCAACCTCATCGCATCAACTCAACAAGGTCAGTTCGCAAAAACATATATAGATACATTGATTATTTATGCCAGGGCTTACAGAAAGTCAATCTTTTGAATTCGTATGAAATTGCTACCTTTACAAGTTCTAATTCCAAACACACATTTATACAATCTATTTCTCTCTTTATTTATTACAACCCGCTTTCCATATTCACTGTGCGGATCGCAGCACTTCTTGCACTGAATTCGTTTCCTCGCATCCATCATATATGAAGGTCTTCCAGTTTTGAAAGGCCACCCACCGGAGTTCTTTACCATAACTCTAAGAGCAGGATATGATTCTGAGCGGGTTCTTAGAGCGGCTATAACCTACTAAGCTTCTCTTGCATGGAAAAGGAAAAAATGAAGCCTGTCTGAATCGGCCGACGATTAGTGGTGGAGCGGGTTTCGAATGTGATTAATAACCTTACACAGATTTTCTAAAAAACTGTTTTGAAGTTAGAGTTTTAGCCATGGCGATTTTTGCAACTGAAATGATCGTAGTGTAGTGTTCAATGCAATCTGGATTTGGCAGTCATCACATCGACTCGGAACGAGGTGAATGCAGTGCCGCTCATTCAACAGTGACTTTTTATAGGCAGAGCAGATCTTTTCGCTGAAACTATGTGACTTACGGACCAGCTAATACTAATCTGACTGCAGTAAGATGAATTCTTGTTATAACAGCAAACAATTTACTTCGAAGATAGATGAACCACTCCCCGTTATCCAGATAGGCTGAAGGGTGAGGTCAGAACCATGAATCCGCAAGGAACGTTTTTTGTAGAAGGCTGTGCTAAGTTATGTTACCTCACTTTTGTGGCTTCCATGCAACTCGATTCAGTTTCTTTTGACTCAATGACTTTGACCGATAACGAAAAGCCACGTCGCAAAGTGGAATAACTGTAGTAGACATTCGATTCCAACGCTTACAGCTGTAGAGAATAGAATAGCCTCAACACGTGTGGTGCTGCGAAGTTTTGCAACAATGTCGTGTAATCTCGTCAGTAGATCACTACGTTGCCCATTCTTCTCCTACATCTCCATGTCTGTTGGACTTTTTGCAGTACACATGAAATTAGTCTTTGACGGAGAGCACCAGAATTTTTATCCGTTTCCACCTGAAAAGCAGCCAGTTGAAGTTCAAATCAACTCGTCTATCGCTGACGCAACTCGAGCCTATACACTCCAAGTTTTGACCGAAAATTTATCTTATCACTACCAATCACTACTTTTCATAGTTATCTTATGAAATCGACCGGCATTCATAGGATATAGAAAGCCCTAGAGTTCACCTATTTGTACAAAAAAATCTTACGAAGCGTGACAACAACATAACTGGATGGTGGGTGAGTTTTTTCGATCACAGAGAAATGTTGAAATGTGCTCTGCAAGACACACCTGATCACTTCGCCCCCAGGCTAGCCCACCCTTTCATCTCTATGAAACTGATAAATTGGCACCAGACTTGCCTACGAGGGCGGCAGCACTGAGCTGATACATTAGTTGGTCACCACAAGTCATTGCGTATAACAGTGGATGCTCTGCTTTCTTCATTAGTCTCTTCGTTGTCATCTTTGTTATCAGAGTTTTCTCGTCAACGTTGTACATTATGATTACAGACGTTCTTCTGACTAAACGAATTGTTTACATTGCCAACTACTTTGAAGACCAAATCTATAAGAGCAATGTTACAGTATGGTTGCTGTTCATCGTTAACACCATGGTCTGAAGTGGTGCAAATGGAAGCGCTACATTAAACGAGGACGAATAAGAAATCACATTGCCTAACTTTTATTTACTGCATATTCTATTTTTATAGTCCATACTACGTAATATAGAACCATAAGGATGCTGAGATACGAGGAAAACTCGAAACATCAGCTGAGCATCGAACATGTCACTATCCTTCCCACGAGTCACGGGCTTTCCACCGCAGCAATAGAGGTTTCTGCTTTGCATTTACCACAGCCAGTTTTCTTCCTCTTCGATTTACCTTTTTCAATTTCATTCCCACTGACTGATAATTGCTGATGGCAAGGTTAGGGTTAAAAGTTGAGTGGAAGAAAGGCAATGCAAGGACTTGCTCTTGTGAATAGCACGTGAACCCCTAAAATAAGAGAAAGTTCTATTAATAAAAGAAGGAATTAAAATAAAGAAGTTACCATAGCTTAATCTATTGTCGATTTTTTGTTTTCCTTTTACTTTTTTATGTCTAAGCTTTCAAACAGGTTAGTCAACCCAGCGTTGTGGTATCCGTTGGAATCGGAGCGGATGTTCAAGTAGAAGAGAAACTCAAAGAACTGCTACCAGAGGTAAACAAGATCTTCCATGGTCGACGAATACAGAAATATCGTATTTCAACTTTCAGTGGTGTTTAAAACTATTACTCATATTTAAAATTCTCCAGCTATCCAACTAGTTTCGTTCCTTTCTAGGCTTCGGCTATGTGTCGATGATTTTCGAGCAGAAAAGTTATCATACAGCAAGATTTATTTTCTCAAATACTTCAGTGGGAACATGTTAGCTAGTTTTTGTATAAACAAAAAAGTTGCGTCAAAAGGCAACGTAAAACAAATCGTTTTCTGGATGACAAAATTTTTCACCAAATTTCGTTCCTCAAATATCATAAACAGACTCCTTGACCAAAAATCGTCTACTTTCAGGGTTCTGAATTTTTCGGAGCCGATCCTGTCAGGGTTCCCAATGAAGCACTCTACAGCAAAGTGGGAACGTTCTTCCCGTACGCCATCAGTGTTCACAGTGGTTTTCACCCATCGCAGATTCGCCTCGATGACGGTGATAATATTTTTTTCTGCTTTCTACTTACATTTTTTTTTCGCTCATGCAAACACCTGTAAACAGACTTATTTAAAACTGAACGGGATCAAATTACAAAATAATTCTCCGAAAATTGAGTTTTCAAGAAGAAGATCGTCTCGATCCCAGTGACCACAATCTTCGTAGTCTCTTCGTGGCACATTGAACTCTTCCACACTCAAATGTCTTTTTTCGTTTTCTGGAGTGACAGCTGCTGTTTTTGCTAGAAAGATATCAACGACTTCAAGCAACGTGAATTGTTCATCGATTGTCAACTCAGTGGCTGTCACTTGACACCCATCTAATATATGCAATATTTGGGAACTTTTGCTCAACTCCATTACTCTTATAAGTTCTTTCCTTCTTTTAAACAACCGTTGCGATTTTACGTATGAGCCAAATAGCTTATAAAAAAGAATTCAGGGTAAAGCTTTCGGCATTGATCAATCCCTGAGGGATGCGTCATGCATTCGACTACATTAAGTATCGTTTGAAGATGATTGAATGCATAGCTGGCCTTTCTTTACAATGACTCGCGGTGGCCTACCGATGTATCGAACCAGTGGTGCTATCCTTCCAGAGAAGTCTTGCACCAACATGCCGACCCGGAGGGATGTAAGGTTTGGTGGGCCGTGGGCGCGGGGACCATGTGTGTGTTGCAGGGCGACACTGCCTCTGCTATACGTGAATGGCTTGTGCTGATGAAAATATTAGAGAAGAGTAGCCAACACGCTAGTGTTTCAATATGAAAGACAGGCTTAAAAACATAGAAAAGACTAATTACAACAAAAGTCAACGCGTTAACTTATTTACCATGTTTCCACTAAGCTGGAACCACTCCTGGAATTTGAAGTTGGCTTCTGAAAAGGGATATGAAATTCCTTCTAGTCTTGAGTTACCTTCCAGTGGTATTTTGACAGGAAAAAGACTTGCAATTACGAAAGCGTGGCAAACTTTTAGATGAATAAGGGCGAAGCCTGTACGGAAAGAACATCTACAGCTAAGTTTCTTTCTTTTGTTGAGTGCCTGCAATTTTTTAGGCCTATACAGGTCGACGGTCGTGGAAAATGTAGATATGCTGACGTTTCTAGTGGAAATAGTTCAACGTGAATTTGTCGACCATATGATTATGGACAACGAAGGACCCGAGTATGATATCGTACCGATGATGGCCGTAGATAATTTGTTTCCCGACAACAATATCGTCGTGTGTCATATGAATGTTGAGGTGAGTGCGAAAGAACCCATACTTCTCTTTCGTCTTTTTGTAATCAGAGTTCTTTTCATACGATACGAATTTTTAAGCGAATATAACGCAATGGTTTGAAGTGCCTCACAATGTAGATCGTCATTAGTTCGATCTCGCACCCTGTCAACCAAAGAATATTATCTCTCAGCAGAAATCGATACTACACCTTTCCTTGAGAATAAAAAAATTACTTAATGGACCGGTTCACTACTATAGACAATTGTTAAGTCAAATATACATTTATATGGGGCGTATAGCACAGTGGTAGTGATGTTCGCCATTAGAAGCATGGTGCTAGTTCGATTGCACTCCGGGCCAACCAAGCCTCTAATCCCTGCGGGGTCGGAAAATTGGTGCCGAACTTGTCCGGGAAAAAACCACTCTCTGTAACCCGATTGGGAATCCTCCAGCGCGACTATCCCAGGACTCTAGGAAGAATTGCTCGACCAGTATTCCACGACACTCAAGATGAAATGAGAACCCTCGAGCAGCGATTGAAGCCACACGTAAAAACTCGGGAGACTTTCGTGGGCGATGGATGCGAGGAAGCGAATTGGATGTCAGAAGTGCTGGGATGACGCGCACAATAGACATGAAGACAGATCAAACAAAAAATAAAAAACATACATCTATTGACTTCTATATTTAGGGAAGTTGAATCCACTAGACATCCGTAAAGGATTGATCACTTCGAACGCTTTATTTTTTATCCCTTGTAACCACTTGTTTCATGTCAAAATAACCCAGTAACAGTCTTATTCGAAACGCTTTCTGCGTTTCTCTAATGAATGATAAAATGAGTGAAGTGTAATTTTTTTTCAAAGTCATTTCTTCCATAACGCATGAATACCAATTATTGCGTCATGAAATAGGGATCTCGACTTGGGTTTTATATAAACATCTCTCGAATTTTAATATATTCCTTTGGGGTCCGACCTTTTACGCCATCTCTAATCGGTTGGCCTAGTTAGCCACAAGGAAGGGTGGCAGCCGGTGCACCAGAAGCCTCTTTAGCAGAGCTACCACCGGATTTCAGGGAAAATCACTCCTGACAATTTCGAATCACTAAGTCGAGGGCGAACTTACGATAATCCTGATCACCTCTATGACTGTTGTGAGATCACCAAACCAACAAAATAAAGGATAGTGATAACTCTGTGCCATTAGTCTCCACGTGACATATTCAGTGGCTCATAGACTCACAGAAAGTGGTAAGTGGACAAAGACCTGTGTTTTCCTCAGCTACCTGTGTTTAATGTGATTGAAATCTTGATCTAGTATTTTCTTCGTTTGGTTGTGGAGGTGTTTGGCTGGGTAGATTACGGTCAACTTGGCCTTTACAGGCACTGAGGAAGGCAAAATCCGCCGAAACGACAGCTTCATCGGAATAAAGTGTGAAATAACCCCCTTCCGCCTATGTGTGTTCAAGAAGAATAAAAAAGATAAAGCTCCCACGATCGTCTTTCTATTAACCTCGGCATTGGATTATAAATGCATCGTTTTCTTTCTCAGCAATCGCGAGGTTGTTATTCAGCACACGTTTACTTCCTTGCAAGAAGCACACATACAACACAACGGTGGCTGACGTCTCGGCAGTATCGCCTTCTTCAGAGCATGGAAGGCACATTGATACGCAGTCTACTAGGTTAAACGTTTCAATAACACCAACAGGAAAATGAAAATCACATGATAAACAGCTTCTCCAAAATTTCACCAATTTTATGTGTAATACACCGACGAAGAACAGCAGATTAGAGTCGCATGCGGCTGATGACTGCTCCACCCCACATCAGAAATCAATGCGTAGATACGGGGAACATCGCATGTTACCTCTAGGCATTTCTTCCTGCTGTTTATTGTATAGTTCTTGGCACTTATACGAAAAGCCTCAAGAAGGATGCACGTTGGTGCTTGGGCATACTGTGTGAGGATAGTGACTTTTATACCAAAATAGTCTCCGCTATGGTTTTGCATCGTACCTAGTGGCGTGACTTGTCTTGCTTTTCGTTTGCCATCTAGGTGCTCCTTCATGCGGATACATAAAGGTGTGCCCGTTTCGCCAACATATTCGTCACCACAGGTGTTACAAGAGACCACGTGTATTGTGCTTTAACTCATCCAGTCATTTTCTCTGTCGTAAGGGCAAATCACGCAGTCCTGTGTCCCACAAAGACGGTAATACAGGCAATTACGAATTAACTGGTGACGAAAGGTATACCATGGTATTTCTACTATTACAACCGATTTTTCTAGACCTCCTATTCTTAAGCACCGTTTTATAGCTACACTTACTTTAATAAAGACCTACTTAAACGGGATTCCCTTTTGGCCATGCGTTTCGTTTTGGGGCGTCGCTTCATTTCGAAACTTATCTCGCGGTGCTAGTATTTCGTAGCCATTTGAGACGGTTATTTGCCAAACCAAGTCGGGCGGAAAAAACGAGGAACCCAGAAAGGGAGGACACGTTACCAAAATTTTCACTGTATTTATTAATGCGTAAATACTTTCAAAATACTTCGATTTCCTAGAAATCTCTATGGACGTTTCCCTCAATTTGAAAATATGTCGTTATTTTTCGATGCTTTTGTCGTTCTTGTTTTGCACCCAGTGGGCTCACTCTAAATTATTTTCAGGAAAAGTTCAGTAAAGAGGAGCTGGCACTGATGTACATATAAAAAGGGAAATCCTCGGCTTGATGTGGAAACACTTTGGGCCCTATTGGTTGCGGAATCATTTACCGTCGAAGTTCATCGAAACGAACAAGATTTCCAAGTCTTCGCAGTGTCTCTCCTTCGAATGCACTGAATAACACATTCGACATAAAAACGTCCTGAAACGCAGTTTTCTCAACTCTTCAACAAGAGAGACCATGAGTCAAACCCGTTAGCTATACGCTGTAAGGTTTCTTCGGGAAACGAGACAGCTTAGTTGTGCGTAGTTGAAGACGCATTGTCGCTTCACTGCCCAGCGAAGAAAGTTGACCGGTGGCCGCTAGAGGGAACATCGTCCAAAGTGCGTATGAGCCATAGACTCAACCGGGCGAATGCACAGTAGTCCCGGTGAGTGACAGCGAATGGAGGGCGATTGGAGTGACCCGAAAGGGTTGGCAATAAAAGATCCAAAGAACCCGTCGCGCATCAACCAGTGCTCTGAACAACAAGAGACATGTAGACTCTCGAGGTGTAACCAGAAAAGTGGAATATGACAGAACACTCAAAATATTCCATACTGACATTCACAGACTGTATTGCGGACAACTTCATATGAGGCTGGCTGTGGTCTTCATGAAGACCAAACTATTCCCTTCTCATTTGGAAGCCGTCTTCTCGAAGGTGAAATTGACCGTATCACGAAGACTAACTGAAAGTTTTCTACAAATGCAAATTATAAACGAAATGACTACCCTAAGATTCTGCTCACTTAAGGAAGAAAAACCTGATTATTCGGGAAAATTCCATTTAAATCATTACGTAAAATATTGCGTTACGAAGGACTTTTATAGAACACCGTTAGCTGCAGTGGGATGAGGAGTAACATTTCGTCATCCAATATCTTGACAACAAACTGGGAGCTGGGAAATGGAAAGTCACCAAAGACACTTTCCAGAAGACGCTCACCACTGACCTGCACCTACCCGCAGAAAAATACTTATGTTTGTGCGCACGATTGTTTGAGCAGAAAATGTCAGCAGTGAATGTTAAATTCGCAATGGGAAAATCGTATTTGAGACTTTGCATAACAAAGCAAAAGACCCACTTTCAATGAACTTCGGCAATGATCAATAATCCATTATTTCTTAATGAGCAGATATGAGCTTGTCAGTACTTGCTCGATATAGTTGACGTCTCAGAGCTGACACTGCACGGAATATCCATAACAAAATAGACAATACTCTCTATATGTTAAACGATAGTCTCTATGACCGGTTAGCACTTACTTTACAGAGTAGATGACTGTGGTGAGCTTTCTTATCTGCCTCAAATAACACTTGATGTTGAGAACCCGATCGCATCCCGAGCAGAAAACCTTCACCATTTGCTTGCGACTATTTTGACGGGACCAGAGTTGAGCCGGCGTCTCTTTACTGGTAAGTAGACAGCTGGCATTAAGTGTGATGTTTTCGCATAAAGATAACACTCGTTTCAAGTGCCATTTCAACCGAGATTGTCTTCTCTTAGTTGGCAAAGCAGTAGATATGGTCGGAAGCTGACTCGAAAAACAACTCATAGATTGTCCCACATAGGGCATACGAGGAGTCTTTACCGTACATATCTTAAAACTGACAATCATTAAACATCGACGAAATTATTGAACACCTTTTTTGATTATTTAGTTAGCACGAGGTCGCACTACGCCCTACGGACTCCTGCATGATGCAGAGCTACCAAAAATGTAGATCATATTGAATGCGGGCAGCAAATTAACATCAGTCTTCTATGAAAAGGTAACGTCTAGTGAGATTCATCATTCGATCAATGCTGCACTTCACTGGAATCGACTTGATGCGACAACGACGAGCCACATCGCTGAACGATCGTCAATGGCATCGAACCATTCCGGCTTTGAAGAAGGTTAAGATATCGAAACATTAGCCGAATAAATCCTTTTATGGTTTTTATGTCGTCCTAATAGTCGAAGGAAGTACCTAAGCAAAAAATTGCTTAACATGTTGGAATGGGAGGCAACGGCAATGTGCATGAATCCGAAGAACTTCTCCAAGCGAGGTGAGAGCGTATTTGCGACGCATTATTTCTTCACTGAACGTGACCGGAAATCCAAAGAGGGAGCGTGTTGAGAGCCGTGTCGTCCCCGTTGAACCACTTTAATCAAAATTGCGGTAGCGCTTGCTGATGCAGAATTGCACAGGATTTTTCTGGTCTCAATCAACAAAATGCATTAGAAAATTCTATTTGACAATTTTAGCCCGTTTGTCGGCAATCAATTTCGATTCGAGATTGGTTTGAGATTACGTCTTTGAGCACTCATTACCTTGCAAGGGATTTTTTTCAAGAGTTCCTACAAAATGGTATAATTTGGTTTGAACACGAAAAGAAAATTTCTAAGCAAAAATTAGAGGAAAACAATTATGTTCGAGAGTATTATTACTTAGTACAATGAAAAGCTTGAGCGATGAGCGTTGTGAAGTAAGTGCAGGCTGGGGTTGTTAAGGCAGTTCTGTCCGCATGGCTGTGTAATCGAGGCGAATTCCCATACAAGAAAGATCGCATGGTGTCGTCTTTGACGTGGTTTAAAAACCCAGATCACGTCGTGAGATAGAGGAATCGCGTTGAAAGGTAAAGCACGGTGGATTCTATAAGTCAGCACGTCTAGCGTGTTGATGCCTCGTGGCAAAACGTGGCCTGGTAGCAGGATGAAGACGAATTCAAACGCTCACTTCCGATCGAGTTGTTCCATCTTTTACCATCTCCTTCACCTCTTCTTCTTTTTCCCCTTTTTCTCTTTAGGATCAGGCGTATATTAAAATACTATTATCATTTTTCCTTCTAAAAGCACTCGTACTTACAAGTTGTGGCTACGTTTCAGATTTCCGTAGCTTCTATCCAGGAACACCGTCCGTTTTTACCACGAATCCATTCTACGAACACAAATATCTCCTTCACCTTCTTGCTCTTAGCGATTGTCATAAAAGTAAGAATAAGTTTGAGAATATGTTCCAAGCACTATTTAAGTTATAAGATTTAGGCTGAACTGAACACGTTCCGGCTTGGTTGTATAGTCGTTACGCAGACAACAAGCAGCGGCTCACCACTTCAGCAACACATTCTTCTACAAGAATATTTCCCAGCTCAGCGATAGGCTTAGAATTTTAGTTCTGAGGAGGTCCAGGCTATTAACTTTTACAATATCTATTTATAAAGTAACTATCCCCCAAATATTGTTTGCAAATAGTCCGTTTTCCAAATATCTCAGCATCACTATGGTCATATTTCACATAATATCCTGCCGTGAAAAACAGTAAAAGGCAGCAAGTAAGAAAAAAATTAGCAATGAGATTTTAACTTACAGCCTCAGCTTAACTGGGTTCAATGCC